CTGCTGCAACTGTTATTGGATAATCGTCAGCAAATTTTTATATCTGCGTATAAGAATACTGTATAACTCAAGTATAAGCTGACCTGAGAATCAGCCACAGGCACCTAATTTTTACCACAACTACATTAAAACTGTGCTGAAAAACACGGCTTATGCACGAGTATATAAGGTAGTTGGAATCACTCATGTTATATATTAACAGTAAAGATATTATTGGTATGTTATACAAAATTTCTGAACTTGTTCAATATTTGTTCAAATATCTATTATGCTTTTTTTTGTGTGTTTGTTTTCTTTTTCTATTTCTGATCTTTATAAAATAGTGTTGTTTTTTTAAAAGAAATGCAATTATAAATCATCTTTTTAATGTACAGAGGTTCTAACATCACATAGCTCGCCTTTAGGAAATATAATGTTCATGAAAGAATTATTTTATAGAATGGTTTCAAGTAAGCACTTTCATATCCTGACTGATGGATTAAAAACAACCAACAACTAGTATGATTTTAAGGAAAGCAGTATCCATCTTTTAACAGCTAGATATAACAATTGGGCTTTAAAAAACATTATTATTACATTCTACTATAAAGGAAGAAAAATAAACATAAAAATATTGGTATTTAATAAATTCATGCTATGTGTCAGTTGGGAAATAAAATTCTCTAATTTCTAACATAATCTTAAACATTTAAATTATATTTGTTCTTGTTATTTGTTATTATTCAATTGATCAGGTTAGACTCTAAAGGATTTTTACAAGAGCCCTAATATATAATTTTTTAATTTCAATGAATTATAGGGATAAGATATCCTTTTGCAGTACATGAGAGAATCTATTCCCACAGTTCCAAAAGTGGGGAAGGGGGAGGAGGAAATGCTATAAAACAATAGGCTCTTTTCTTTTGAGTTGGTTATCCAGTTCCAAAGGGCTAAGGAAGGATTGACTTCTGTCACCAAATGTATTGGGAAAGACAGTATACAGTTCAAATAGGGGAAATGGTATGGTAATGAATCACATGAGTGATAGAAGAAATATACATATATATACATATATATGTATGTGTGTGTATGTATATATATATATATAAAACACTGTACTTCTGAGTCACCATGAAATATGTACACACACACACACACACACACACACACACACACACACACTATCCTTCCCTAAATATCTGTCACATAAGCCTCTCACTTTTTAGTTATTTCAATTCTAATAGGGAGAAACAGGATTTTCCCAACCACTGAACAGAGGAAAAAAACCTGGGCTCTCAGAAATGTTCCTGTTTGAAATGTTTTAGGGTTCCTGGCTTAGCTGCTGAATTCAGTAAATGGGATGGTGAAGGTGGTTTATGAAGAGAACCTCTGTCAACTCCACTCACTGTGGTCCAGGGATATAACAGATGAGGGGTAAGAACAAAAACAAAATAAACACAAATTCTTATTACTTAAAGAACCAGAGAATTCTGATATGTTCAAGGTTCATAGCCTAAGATCCTAATAATGGATGGGCTTTTGAAGATGTTTTCATTTTAGTTAAATTAATGGAGGTATGTAAAAAGGAGTTGCTATGGCAATTGAGGAAACTTTCCATTTAAAATACAAATATTGTGATGAAAAGTCATGATTTTTAAATATCTAGTGTGTTCTGTTGAGGCTCAGTTTACTTTTAAAAATAGCTGTTTTAAAAGCATAAAAATATATGTCACGTGTGCAGGAGACAAGGAGTTCAAATTCATTCTCTTTGAAATAATAGGAAAAAAATAAAAATAACTAATAGAGCCAAAACATAATGATCAAATATGATGAGAAATCAGGAAAACAATCCTCCCCCTAATAAAAAGCACTCCAAAATAAGTTATACAGTCCTGTCAGAAAACAAAGGAAATGTGTAGAAACAAAGAAAAAGGGTGATCTTAAAACAATTTTTATTAACTTCCTTGAACGTTAATAATCTTCTTTCCTTTTTCAGAAGAAAGTCTATTGGGAACCAATGAATTTATAAAACAAATGTTTGAGGTAAGATTCTCAATGTTTTCTTCCTAAGACTAGGAAGAAGGTAAGGGTGTCTGTTTCTCAACATTTCCAGTCAACTCTGAACTATAGGTTTTAATCAGTGTGAAGGAAGAAAAGAACCAATCAAAGGGATCCAGACCAGAAAAAGAAAAGAAAAGCTGCCTTTATTAGTAGGCAACATGATCCTTATGATAGCTTTGCAGATGACCATCAGCATAGTGCTAAACCATCAGCATAGTGCTAATTCCCAGAGGGCAGAGGTCAATGACATCCTTGTCCTTCTCCCACTTCTCCTTCATTTAACACTAGCCACCTACTCCCTCCCCGCACCCCCCATTTATCTCTCATTTTCTTTCTTTTTTTTTAGGGGAAGGTTAGTTGGTATCAACCTCCCAGGAAAGTCTTTTCTGGACTGGTCACCCCGCCCGACCAACCATACTAAATATTCCAAGGGCTAATTCCACAGAACCAAGGCTTAAAAGGTCACTTACTTAGGATATTCCTAGGTACTTTTGTACCACATCATTTATGGAAAAAATCCTATGACGTTCAAAAAATGTTACTAGAAATAATAATTGATTTCATAATACTGCAGGACTCAACACATTAAAAAGTAATTTTTAGTTTTATGTACTAGCAATAATCATAAACTGAAAATTTTAAACTGTAATACAACATAAAACTTTTTTAAAAAAGATTCATATGTTAAAAGTTGTTTATTCTCTTCAAACTGACCTACAGATTCTATGTAATCCTGATCACAACCCCAGTAGGCATTTTTAAAGACATTGATAAGCCAATTCTAAAATTCATATAGAAATTAAAAGAATACAGATCAACTAAAATAACTTTTAAAAGAAAAAAGGATGAAAGCTTGATACCATCTAATGTCTAGGCTTATTCTAACGCTAGAACAACCAAGGGCAGACACACAGCTTACTGGTCAAAGAACAGACACATAGGGCAACAGAACAGAGCAAGAAGTTCAGAAACAGACTCACATACCGCCTTCAAGACGTTAGTAGAAAAGTGGAATTAAAAGATAATATATTTTCCACAAATTTTTAAGCCCCTTTGAAAATACATGGTCAACTGATTTTTAACAAAGATGTAAAGACATTTTCATTGGGGAAGAGAATGGTCTTTCAACAAATAGCTTTAAAATAAGTGGCTATTCATGTGCAATAGAAAAATATATCCATACCCTGAACCCTATCAAGTTAACTCAAAAGTATGATAAACCTAAATGTAGGCCCTAAACCCATAAAACATAGAAAAATATATGTGATTTTGGATAATGGATGTATTAGTTCTTAAATATAAGAGCATAAGAATAAGCCACAAAATAAAAAATGAATAAATTAAATTTCCTCAATATTAGAAACACCATTTAGCAAATGAATAGACAAGTCATAGCTGGGAGAAAATATTGGCAAAGCACATATCTAATAAAGGACTTATATGTACATACATAGGGGGCCCTGGTGCTGGAGTGGTTACATGATTGGCTGTGATAGCACTGTCAGCAATTCAAAACCACCAACAGTTCCTTGGGAGAAACACTGGGCTTTCTACTCCTATAAACTGTTACAGTCGCAGGGAGTTACTATGGGCAGCACTGACTTGATGGCAGTGAGTCTGGAGTTGTTTTTTTTAATGTACCTACATAAAGTTAGTATTAGTTGGAGTAAATTTGATAGCCAACTGACAACAAATAATACCAACAACAAAAAGATCATCAGCATCAACCAGAATACATAAAGAATATATATAAAGAACTCTAAACTCAATAATAAGAACACAAACAAATAATACAGGAGGGGCAGGTTTGAGTTCATTTCATCAACTGATATATACAGATATCAAAGAAACACATAAAGAGATGTTCAACGTTATTAATCACTAGTAAAATCCAAAACAAAACCATAAAGAAATACCAGTACAAACCTCCTAGGACGGGCTAGCATTTACGAGACTGGCCATGTTTAATGTTTAAGAAGATGGCTAAGAACGGACACTCTCATACACTACCTGCAGGAATATTATATGGAACAACTACATTTCAAAATATTTAAAATTTGGCAGTGTCTTAAAGAGTTCAACATACAACTACCATATGAATCAACTATTCCTTTAAGAGAGAAATGAAAATATATATTCAAACGAAGATTTGTACACAATATGTCCATAGTACTTTTATTTGTCATGGTGCAAAATCAAATAGAACCCAAATATCCATCAACAGATGAAAAAAAATGGGTGAAACAATTGTAATACAGCCATTCAATGTAGTACTACTCAGCAATAAAAAAAGAATAAATTACTGATAAGGGCAACATCAGTGAATCTTAAAATCACGCTGAGGTACAGGCAGCAAAAGAGAAAAAGTATGCATTGTATGAGTCAATTTATATAAAATTCTATAAAATGAAAACTAGCCTATAAAACTATGAAACAAAGATCAGTGGTTGCTTAGGAATTTTAAAGGGCAAAGAAGGACAGGAAGGAGGGATTTCAAAGAACAAGAACACTTTTGTGTAAGGTGGACATGGTCATTATCTCGAGCATGTTAAAGGTTTCCTGGGTGTGTGTCAAAATTTATAAAATAATAGACTTCAAATGTACAGTTTATTTTTTAATGTACAGTTTATTATATGTCAATTATATCTCCATAAAGTCATTAAGCATTTTAATAGTGAAAGTGATATGAAAGATTAATATGTGAAGCTCTCCATTGTACTCTTATAATCACTGAATTGCTTTGATCAGAGTAAACTTAAGTATAGTCCAGAAAATGGTAATTTCTTTGAAAATTTGAATGACATCATAAGGAGAAATGCAAAAAACAAATGAATGAGTCATAGTCACAATATTCCTATCTGTTTTGCTATGTTGATGGTATTTGCAAGTCTTTGGTGGGTTCTGAACAGCTAAAGTATATATATATGAAAATCAAACTGGGAATGAATAATCAATCATACCTTGATTTGTGCAAAGGGTCTTTCATAACCTCCAACATAGAGAAGGCCAACATTCTGAGGGAGTAACCTGCAGAGAGAGAGAGAGAAATATCATTTATAACATTTTCTTTCGTAAAAGTAAATGGTATAAATATAAAAATTTGCATAATGATAAAAAAACTGGATGCTATGGAGTAGATTCGGCTGTGTGGTGACCCATGATGAACAACAGTGATTTATAGAATTTTCACTGGCTGATTTTCAAAAGTAGATTTCTAAGCCGTTCTTCAAGACACCTTTGAGAAGATCTTCACTTTAAACCTTTCAATTAGCACCTTACCCAACTGCACCATCCAGGGTATCCATATAAAGAATGCATAGTGTGAAAAATTATGTATCTATGTAATTATTTTTATCTTTTGCATTATGAGATGGTAACAAAGAAATATTTATGTTTCAGAAAACATTAGGTTAAAAAAAAGCACTTAATAAGAATAAAAACTTAATGCAGAACACCTTAAAAGAGGCTTCAAAAACTGTGAATTCTGTTATCTTTCATAATTATATATATACATATATATATAGAAAATCAATAAAGATTCAATTCAAAAAATTTTATTTTATGTTTATAATATGCACGGCAACAAACCTAAATAATTTAGCCCCAAATCTAACATGTGAATGTAATATAAAAGTAATTTTTACCACAAAGACAGCCTCTGATAAGAACGATAATAGTGGTTTTTATTAATGGGAAAGTGGTAGAGTGAGACGTATTTGCTATGGAAGGCTCTGTAAAAGTTGCAATAGTTGGAATCTAGGTTTAGCCTTAAAAGTTAAATAAGGTAAACATAAAGTTTTAAATAAAGGTTTGAGAATGCAGAGGATTTGACACAAAGAGTACACAAGTATGGCTACAGTAAAAGAGAATAATATAATTATTATTAGATAATAATATAATCTAATGGGTGATAAAAATCTAAATGAAGTTTGGAATTGAACATGAAGGTCCTCAAAGGCCATACACTTTATTCTGTAAGCACTATGGAGTTATATTTTTTAAAGATTTATCTATAAACACAATAAATGCACATGGAAATAAAAAGTCATATAGATGGATAAAATATAAAGTTTGTAAAGGTTACTTTTTCTGTTTTATCTCTCCCTTCTGAGTCCCATTACTACAAGAGTCACCATTTTTTAGTACACTGAAATATTCTGATTGAACGCCATCATTAGAATTGCACTTGTGCAAATTAGTAGTGGTGCTCTGTACTGAAAGGACATAATTATGGTGAATAGTCTTGGTTCTAATAAATCTAAATATAAAAATATCTTTTACCATAACCATCAATAAAATGGTTATCAAATGGTCCACTTTCTTAATGGACATCGTGAATAAATGGGCACAACTCTAGTTTTAACGCTATTGTATACAAAGAATTAAGAGAACAAAATGCCTATACTTCTTGCCAATAGGCCAAGATACTTCTCTTCAGAATCTAGTTAGTTCAAGCCAGGTAGCAGTATTCTGATCTCTCTCGACAACTCTAAATCAATTGCATAAACCAGAGAATATACAGAAAGTAAAGAATCATAAATTCAATTAAATGGAAAATCTTCAGTGTACATTACTGATGTAATCATAAAAAATAGGGCATAAGATTATTTTAACTGTCTCTTTTAAACTTACTGTCTTCAAAACTTTCTTTTAATAATTGCAGGATAGGCATTTCTTCATAGTTTAGCAACTCAGAAATGAGAATGCCTCTGTCCCGCCACGGTATCTTATAATCATTGTCGCCAATTGGCAGTTGTAAAGTGATTGTGTGATTACTTTCCATTTGACACCTTCTAATAAGATTGGTTGAAATCAACTCAATGGCAATGAATTTGAATTTTTCCTTTGTTGGTAAAATTAGAAAGGCGCCTGGGTGGTGCTGCTGTCACATAAGAGATTCTGAAAGGTCTACAGTTCAAACCCATCAGCCGCTCTTGGGGAGAAAGATAAGGCTATCTGCTCCTATAAAGATTGACAGCTTCAGAACCCCTATGTAGGGTTGATATACATTGGAATTGACTTGATGACGCTTGGTTTGGTTTTCATACGATTAGAAGGAGCCTTGGTGGATTGAGATAGTTTATTGTGCCAGCCTGGCCGAAAAACACAAGTGGGATTAACTGAAGGGCGGAGAGATAAATGGCTTGGTGAGTCTCGCCTTTCTTGTCTCTCGCTCTTTGATCATCGTACCAGTGTGCGGCTGCCTTGCTTGTTCTGTGCCTCAATTTAAAGGCTACACTACCTGTGGGACGCCTAGCCTGTGGACTGTGTCGCTGTAAGTTGAGGTCCCTTTAAGACATCTCTGGAGCTGGGGACTGGCGGTTGGTGACCTGGCTGGCAGTTGGTGACCTGCCTTGTGATTGGCTGCTGTGCTGAGATAACCTAACTCTCTCTAAAATAGAAGAAGATCTGGCAGCAGACCAGACTTGAAGGACTGCTAGTCTCTCACAACTCTCTCTCATGGGAGTGAGTTGCATTGAGCCATTTGTAGTGCTTTATAATTTAGCTGTTTATTTCTTGTATTATATATTTATCTGTATGTGATTTAACAGTTAATTTCTTGTTATATATGTAATTATCTTTATAAATAAATATATTAAATTATCAGCAATTTGGTTTTCTCTCTCTAGAGAACCCTGTCTAACACAGCGGTCCTGTAGGATAAGGATTGGGCTGTTAACCACAACTCACCATCAAACTCACCAACAGCTCTAGGGGGAAAAGATGAGACTGTTCAAGATCTTTCATCTTCAAAACCCTATCAAAGGCCACTATGAGTTGGAATCAACAAGATGGCAATGATAGGTTAGATAGTAAGATTAGAACCTTAGTGGGTTAAGTGTTGGGCTGTTAAATCCAAGGTCAGCGCGTCTAACCCACAAAAGCTATAAAACTCCTTAGTGGAAATCTGCCCTACAGGGTCATTGTGAGTCAGAATCGACTTGGTGGCAATGAGTAGTACGGTTAAAAAGAGCCCCAGTGGCACAGTGGTTAAGCACTTGGCTGCTAGCTGAAAGGTTGGTGGTTGGAACCCACCCAGCAACTTCACATGAAACCCAATAGGGTCATTATACTCTATACATGGAGTCAGCATGGCACCTAACAATGGCACCGAACAACAATAGTAAGATTAAAGGGGGCACTGATACAATGTTCAGTGGTAGAATACCCTGGTAGTGCAGTGGTAATACACTTTGGGGTGCGATCTGCAAGCTCTAAACCTGCAGATTAGAAGTTCTAAACCACCAGCCGCTCCCAGGAGAAAGATGGGGCTTTCTACTCCTGTAAAGAGCTCTGGGAAACTCACAGTTCTACTCTGTCCTACTGGGTCAGTATGAGTCAGCACTGACTTGACGGCAGTTGAGTTATGCATGAGATCTAAAGCAGATTACTCCTCACAACGCACTTCAGATAGTGCCACCGTTCTTCTGTCAGTGGAGACTTCAGTGTTGCTTAGATAGTGAACAGGTTTCAGTGGCGAATGACCAGAGACAAAGAGTTAGCAATCTACTTCCCAAGACCAGTTGGGAAAAATCCTTCAGATCACTAGAGTTCAAGTTAATCATAGCACAGACTGGGCAGCCTTTTGTTCTGTTGTGCATGGGATCTGCCATGAGTTGGGGTTAACTCAATGGCAGCTAATATTAAGAAAGCACAAGCTGAAAACATTTTAGAATACATAAAATATGGTAGATCATTAAAGACTTAAAACATGTTAATAGCTGATGAACATCAACTAAACATCCTGAACTAAGCCAAATGAGCACAATTGCTACTAACGTTTGAAATTTAAGTACTAACTTGTAATAGTGCATTTCAACATGATTGAAGGTTATAAACATTACCAGAAGCATTTTTCACTGGATGCAAGCAGGAAGTATAGGAAATATCTTCAAAGCACAATAGTGAAATGATGGTCCTCTTAGTTATCATATGATGAGACATTCCAACCAACAAAACTTTAAATGTCTCTGAAATCACAGCTATATTGCAAATATTAACTCACTGCCATTGAGTCCATGGAAACTCAGTGCCCTTTCTGCGACTCTTAACGAAAGCTGAACTGGGAATCTTGACTTAATCTTTCTCCTGCAGAACAGATGGTGAACTATTTGAATTGCCGACCTTGCAAATCACAGCCCAACACCAGCAGGGCTCCTATTGCAAATATTAGCTAGTTATATAGAGGAGTGATCATTTATTTCCTGGAAAAAATGCTCACAGCAAGCTTGATAGCCCCTTTAAAAGCAGTAATAGTCTCAGTCCATATAGACAGATTTTAGAAAAGGAACAGAATAAAAGCTGGCTGTCATTTACAATCAGTATATGCCTCTAATTACCAAGCATATACATTTCAGAAGTTTTCCAGTATACTCTTTTGTGTGTCCCCTCTCTTTAACCTCCATATCTAATAACCAGCCTTCCCTAAACCAAGATATTTCTTAAATGTATCCACTGGATCGACATGCATATTTCACTTTTTAAATACTGCTTTCTCATTTATGTGCCTTTTATTACTCACCATTATATTACCACCTTCGTTTGAGTGGGTTTTAATGTGTATCATAATTTAAAGGTTTGTTATGCACATGATAATGATTACTTTGAGAACGGAATTCCCCACAAAAAAAGGACAATTTTTTAAATCTATTTTTATCTTTCAAAAAATCATTTTGCCAAAATGTACACATAATTATTGGTAAATAATAGGCAGCATTCTGTCATGGCAGGGTACTTGTGTACATTACAGCAATCAAACTTTGAATCTCTGGAGTAAAACATTAAGTCAGAATTGATAGATATATTTTATATGTATAAACTCATAATAGGAACCTTGACTCATTTAGTTCCAAGAAATTGTTCTGCCCTAAAGTTATGGGCATTAATATAACCTTCCACAGATGCTAACAACCCCTAAATTATATGCTTGTAAATAAATGCTTCTGTAATAAGATCATCAAAAAGGATGCTTTTGGAAAGTAACAATAAGGAAGAAGTATTATTATGGTGAAGTTAAGTGTTTAAAG